GCCTGGGGATGAGGAGCGTATCGAGCAGTCCCAGAGAGCCATAAATTACTCCCTCCTGTTGTCACTGGCCTGTAATAGTGAAGAGGCGAAGCTTTCTCATCATCTGCTGGGGTGGGAATGTTTGGGTCCTGTCATTTCTGTGAGCATATTTAATTCAATTATGTGGGAATGCCCTTAACGAAGCAGGTCCTTGCTCTTGGCTTTGGTGGTGTTCCCAAGCAGGGGTGCCAGTGCAGGCTGCCCTCAGCATGGCTTTGCCAGAAAGGCTGTAATTAAACCCAGATAATAAGGCTTGAAAATAAAAGTTGCCCAAATTTTGGGTGATTTTGTGTTTTTCTGTTTCTCATTTCATTGTCTCAGACATTTGTGTCCCTCCCACCTTCTCTAGGTCATTTTTATTTTAATCGATCTTATCTCAATGCTACTTCCTCTCTGTTCTCACTTCCCAGTGCCATCCATGCAATGGCAAGGGGAATTTTCTGCCACTGGGAGCCTGGATGTTCCTGTGACACATTAGGAACATGGGTGAACAAAATATCTTTAGATTCACCTTCTTCAAGTTTGTGAAGAAACTGCTGTTTACCAGACAAATTGCTGCAGAAGGCCTGTGGTGCGACCAGTGAGAGATGACCCCCAACCCTGTCTCAGCTGAGAGCAATGCCAACAATCCACCCAGGCCATCGCCTTCCTGCAGTAGAAACCAGAACTCTAAAGTGCTTTTCTCAGCTTTCTCCTCTGTTTTGCATAAACAGAATAAAAACCAGGTTGGATTGGGGGTTTTTCCCTGTATATTTGAATCTTCAGAGCAGTGCTCATCACCTTGCAATACAACATGACTGTAAAATGTAATACCATTTGATGGGAAATGAATGAAATATTCCATCAGAAGACAAGAGTGAGAAAAGGACTTTCAAAAATTACTTTAAAAGGAGAAAAAGAAGACACATGATGTCTTCTACCTTCTGTGACATTTGCATCTAGGTGGCTGAGCAGCAGGGAGGCCCAGATGCTCTGGAGAGGAAGGTGCTGGGAGAAGGATGCTCCTTCCAGGATAGCCAACATAGGGCCACCAGTGACCCAGATGGAGTTATGTCCCTGGAGCCTTCCCAGCATTGCAGCTCTCCGTGTCTCTCCATCATTGGGGTACATTAGGAGTGATGCACATTGGCCATCCCACCACAGTGCAGGTGGCATTGGCACCCTCCCAGCCGTTACTATATATTAAATATATATGTGGAGCGAGCGTTTTGAAACCTTCACTTTGAGGATGTTCTCCCCTTTGCTGGTGGCAAAGGCTACATAGCAACGAGGGACCTTTTAGCTGAAGAAATAAGAAAGCAGAAGGGGGAGGTGGAAGAATTGTCCTGGCAATGGAAGGAGGGAGGGAGAGGGCTGGGAGGTGGAGAGCAGAGATAAACGGTAGGTGAGCTATCAACAGGATGGTGTATGAGGGCTAAACCAGCTGCATAGCTGTGATCACTCAGCCCCAGATAAACACCCAGCAGCCCCACACTGCCCCACGCCCACCCAACGCCTTGTCCCAGTGCTCTAGGTGGAAACCAGCCTGGCCCCAACTGCAGAGGCTTTGCTTGGTCAGGCTGGGGGGGCTTCCTGTGTCCCTAGTTAGGGGCTGTGCCTGAACGGGGCCCTCTGCACACCCCAGGTTGGAGCCTGAGAAGGGCCCCCTGCTTTCACCCAAGGGAAACATCACCCAGACACTTTAAAAGCAAGGACTGGCTGATGGGCCGCTGGGTGTGAGGAGAGTTTAGCAGCTAAGGTTTTGGGGGCATGCTTTAAAAGAGCAAGGGATGCTCTAAAAGACCTTGTTTAAGTAAGTAACAACTCTGAAACTCATAGAAATTAAAGACAAGAAAATACCTGCAGTGCCATTCCTGTTCAGCTGCTCTATTCTATGGGTATAATGTTGGCCATCATCAACAGCATGGTGCTGTAGTCGCATATATATACAAACACATATTCAATAGACCTCTTAGCCTGTAAACACTCCCTAACTAATGTTACCAGCAGTTGGGTTTTAATGTATTTATGCACATGGCTGTGATAGCAACTTCTTTTTTCTCTTCCAAACAAAAGAGGAATTATTGTCGTTACTCATAAAATCATGGCCAAATACTTGCCAGGGTGTGAAGGGAAGCAGCATTGTGCCCAGCAACCCCCTCCTCACACCGTCCCCCTTGATAAAAGAGGGGAAAAGGCCATCAGAGCCCTTGGGGGACCTGCAAATAACATGCTGGGGGTAATGCAGTGGTGGCTGGTAGCACTGGCCTGCGGTGGGGGATTGCTTCGCCGCCTGTCTTCCTTCCTGCTGGCCCCACACACTCTTCCTCCCACTTGCTGTCTCTGCGAAAGCCCAGCCCAGGCTGGACAGTGTGAGCCAAGCAAGGAAAAACATCAGCAGATCCTTCTGCAAGGGTTTTGCTGCCTGTTTATGACTTTTGATAGCTGGGGAGGGGCCGTCCTGGCATCCTCACCCTGCAATGCCCAGGAATGAGATAGCAAAGATCTGAGCCATGAGGTGGGACAGAGGCAGACAGTGAGTGGAGGCTGCTTTGTAAAACTTTATTTAGAAATATTCTTGATATATTCATTATATATATATATTTATATATACACACACATTACAACAAATGTGTTTTCTAAGTAGCACATCCACAGTGGGTTGAGACTCAGGGTACCAGGTCTGGTTACTTCGTTTCTGCAGAAAAAATGCAGAAATCCAAGAGGAGGATTGGCAGAGAAAGGGTTGGGGCTGAAATAAACCAACCAAAAATCGTAAGGTGGGAATTCACTCACACGGTACAGCATTGCCCCAGAGCTCTGTTTCCAACAGAAACAGGGAGGGGCGATGGTCCACACAGCGCGAGGTGAAGCAGGCAGGAGGAGAGGTGGGCAGAGGAAATGTACCATTCAAATCACGATTAAAGTACAACTGTACATACCCCAGGAGACCTACAGTGCGCTCTGCTAAGGGCTATGGGCAGGCACATGTGTGTATGGGGGTGATGGGAGGTGCCACCAAGGTTGTACCATTTTCCCAACTGTTCAGCTACGGAAAAGATTAAAAATAATAATTATAAACTTGTGGGGAATGAGGAATTTCTGAGTATCAGTGATTTTTCTTGCAATAGTTTAAGAAAAAGGGGGTAAACCACCCACCCACCCCACCATGGGGTTGTTTCGAATGCTGAAAACCAAGAATGGCTTTCCCTGTGCGACAGCATCTCCCTCCCTTCTCGAGGGCTCCCTCCTGCCAGTCTCTCCTACCCATGGTGCTGGGAGCAGCCCAAATCTCTTCCTCAGCATCACTCCACCACCCACAGGCACCTCTTCCTGGACCCCCTATAGTAAAAACCCCCCATGCACAGGTGTTCTGGGCCCGGGAAGGAATTTCCCTTCTCCCCAGTTTAAGATGAAAGAGGTTGGTGGTTTCGGAGGGTTTGGGTCTACGCTGGAAACCCTTGCTTGGACCAGGACTGCTTCCCAGGCAATTAATTCCACCTAACGTGCCAGCCTCCCACCTATTATTTACAAAGAGACATTAAAACTAAGCAGGGACATAAATGACAGGGCTCTGACTTAAGCCTGGGATGGGCTTGCAGACACCCACCCAAATCCTCTGTGTTCCCTTGTACCTCAGCACCCTTGAAAAGGGATGAGTGCGGTGGAAGATGTCCCCGCTTAAAGGACTTTTTCCCTTCCAAAGGATGATTATGGATGGTTGGGGTTTTTACTGTAGCATGGTAGAGATTTCTGTGCCTTGACATATCTGCAGAGGGCGAGGATGGGCTTTTGACAATTGTTCCATCAGGCATTAGGTGAGAGATGGGACTGATGCAGTGGTGATGGCACGGTGTGATCCTCAGGTCCCAGCCGCAGCAGCAGCCTCCTGCTCCCCAGTCCTTTTGTTTCCTAAATGCCGTCCTGAGGAGGCAGCAGGGATCAGAGGATCAGCTCAGTCACAGGCATCAGTTTCGCATCAATCCAAGTACTCAGGAATGGAGTCTAATCCCGCCACTGCTCTTAGTGCTTCCCCCAGGGATTCGGAGAGGCTGTGGGCTCCTACCAGCCTCAGGCAGGTGAGGACCTTCCTATCGCTGGGATAAATCCAGCACCATAGTCCAGCCTGCAGGCATTGACACACCTGAACCACCACCATTTTCATACAATAAAACCAAAAAATCCACAGCATACCGTTAAACCCCTATATACACGCGCACTGTTGATGCATCATAAACCCATTTTGGCTTTTTGTTGCTTCTTGGATTTAAAAATCCCCCAGTCCAAGGGGATGCTTCACTACCAAATATTCATTTTTCTTTCCTTCATCAATTCCAAAATTCATCATCCTTGAGAGAAGCTCTGGCCCTACAGGCACCACTGGGAAAACTCTGGGAGACCGTAACAGGCCTGGAGCTTACTCACGGAGCGTTACCAGCAAGAAGAATCAGGGACTGGGAGAGCAGGAGAAAACACCTATGTACCTTTTCATTCAGTGGATACTGCATGACAGTGTTAAACAGAAGTAATCCCATGTCATAAATACAACAACCCCAAACAATCCAAAGTTAGGTAGAAGGGAAAAGAAGAAAGGAAACAAAAATAGAAAAAAAAATAAAAAGAAAAGAGAGGAAAAGAAATAGTCTTAATCCTTTTAATAGTTCTTTTGCTGAGGGTGTTTTTTCACCTCTAAAAAGATACAGTCAAAAGCTCTCAGACAACAGGAGCACGTGGGTCCAGCTCCTGCTCATGCCAGTTGTATAAGCCACAGGCTGGAGAAATGCTGCAGCAATGGCAGGGTTCGGCAGTCTCCAATGCCTCGCGGAGCTGGAAACTATCAGTGGCCTCTGCCGGCAGTGAAAGAGGAGTTCCATGTCTCAACCACGCGACTGTTTAAAAAGCAACAGTCGTCCAATGGTCTGAAAACCCTCTAAATGCTGGAGAGGTGCTGGCCACATCTTCTTCCCCTCCACAGAGTCACATCACGAGCAGTATGTACAATGAAGATGACTTCAATGCTTTTCTTCTTTGTACGATCACGTACCTAAATACTGAACGTCCATCTGGTTTGGTCTTGTCCTCAGCCAACGTGCCGGCTCCTCCATCCCGGGCTGGGAAGGCCAGGGAGCCCATGGCGAAAGGCAGAGTCACAAATCCCACAGGCACTAACTCCAGCACCCGCATGCTCAGGTCTTGCCTTCCCCATTGGTGCTTTGGGAGCGATGAGGAAGGTCATCACCGCTGCGCATTGCCTTCTACAGGGAGAATGGCATGGTGCAGGCTCCGCGTGTGCTTCGAATCTAGTGTTTCATGCTCTTCTGTGAAGCTGTCTGGGCTTGCTGCTCCGTCTAAAGAACTTCCACAGCTAGAGTTAGGAGACAACATGTCCTGCAGGAGGTCTTCCTGGACTATCCCAGAGTCTTTGTTCACTTTGCCCCTTTGGTTTCCTTCTTCCTCCTGGTCGTTGAGCAGCTTGGCCAGGAAGTTGATGTATTTCATAGCCAGGCGCAAGATCTCGTTCTTGCTGAGTTTTTTGTCGGGCGGGTGGGTAGGGATGAGCTTGCGAAGCTCTGCAAAGGCCCCGTTGACGTTCTGCTGTCTCCACCTCTCCCGGCTGTTGGTAAAAATGCGACGAACCACTTTCGTATGAGGACCTGCAATTGCAACCATGCAGAATTAGGAGCAGGGCGTAACAGGCAATGTATTACTTTGCTGAATTAACCCAAATTAACCAACTTATTTTAGTCACATCAGCAAGGCAGTGAAACAGGAGTTTCCAACTAACTCTCAGCTAACCTGAGGAGCTGAGGTAGCCATAATTCCTGCTCAATCCAGTGGAAGGGAAAGATGGAGTTATGTCTTTTTAGATGTCCCCTGAGATGCTTAAATTAACCTCTCCAAGGAGGAAGGCTTAGGCCATGACACACGTGCAGAAGGCTGCTCTATTTTTAGGGTATCTCAGCTCATCAACAAGGGTATCTCAGCAACAAAGATCTTATTAAAGGTTTATCTCACTAGATGGTTTTATTTTGTATCCCAGAAGTGTCTTAAGGACATACCATCAGGACAGGAAGAATTTAGCTGAACCAGAGGCTATGACAACTCTAAGATATTCCCTGATATAGGCAGAATCCAGAGCTGACAGAGACCATAGGATTGCCACCAGCCCTGGGTGGTTTGTACGAAACGGGGTGGCAAGATTCACCCTGTAGCAATGAGAACAGGTAGCAATGTGACCCACAGACTGAAAGCAGTGTCCTTGCTGGAAGGGTGATCATGGGTGGAGGATGAAACAGTTTCTCAGCTGACCTGAGAACCGCCTGCTCTCTCTGCACATAAGTGCTGCAAGGGAAAGACCCCCCGATCTGACACTAATTAGAGAAGGGACTCTAAATTCACAGAGGTGTATCCATTTGACTCAGTTACACGTGAATTACTGTTAAATCCCTGTAATTCTATAGCTATATTTCTGACAGTGCATGTTACACAGCATGGATGCACAAAACACACCAATTCTCCCTCCAGATCATCAGAGTAACTCCTGTTGACACAAGCAAGACATTGTCTCTGAACTAGAAGAGACCCAAAAGCATGTCTACCCGAAAGTACTGTGCTACAGGAATAGCTGGGGTCCATGGAAACCAGTTCATGTAAGGAGACAGTATAATAAGATGCTTTTACTATTACACCCTTTCCATCCTCACCTCTAGGAGATACTAACAGTGGAAGGACATACCAATCTTATGAAAGGCTGGGAGAATAACCCTAGCAGAAAGCCCTATAGCATGGAAAGCATCACACACAGTGAAAATCATAAAGTATGAAGCAAAGACTTGGAAATAACACACTGACAACTCGTATCCCAAAGGCCAGGCTGTGGATACTCTCATCCACACCATCTCTCCCCTGTAACCCCCGCTCTGAGACACTTGCCTAACTACTCCCTCCTGGTAGGAGCAAGTCCCTGGCCATGGTGAGCAGTTTAAGCCATAGCTCTGCTGTCACCCAGTGAAAACAGCATTGAGGGGGGGAAGGGCATTTAAACATCGTTATTCTTATACCCTTGACTGTGGCAGAACAGCTGAAAAGATGTGATTTTGGAGGCATCCTAGTCAGGCTACACCTTAACAAATCCCACCACGCACAAGGTGAGAAAAGGAATACACATTCCAGCTGATTAAACACCATCACACTTTCCTCCCTGCAGGGGAAACTTGAGCCCCTTTAGGCCAGCACAACACACACACCCATCACAGGGTTTGTATGGGGACACGCTCCCAAGCAGCCAGATTAAAGCTACTGGCTTCTCCAGTGTGCGAGCAGCCATCCAACTCACTTCTCACGGCATACTCAGGAGCAGGGAGTCCCCCAAAATCACAAAGATTTTGTGATAAGCTGGAGTAAGCTGGGGGTGTTAGAATGAGAAACTCTTCTCTAAGATCCCAGTCTGATGCTTTAATAAAGGCAATTTTCCACTCCCAAACACCACATAAATACCCTTTGTATGAATGAATGTGCAAAAGCTCATAGAAAAGGAAGGTTTCTTGTCCCTGATGTGCACAGACCACTGTGCCACAGGATCATAGGAAAGGTGGGAACCAAGGGGACCTCAACAGCACCAGGCTGACAAGCACTGTAAGTAAGGCAGTGGAGAATGTACCACAACCTACTACAATAATACAGCAGTTTTGACACTTAAATGCTCTTTCCAGACAAGACAAAGCAACCAGCCTTGAATCCAGAAGGAAATGGAGCTTAAAACCTTCTAAGGGTATGGAGGAAAAAAAGAAAAAGGATACTGCTCATTTTTTAAAAAAAGAAAAAGAAAAAGAAAAAAGAAATAATCCCAAGATACTTCCAGTCTTCACAGGCTTCAAACACACATCTATTCATGGAAAGCTGCTGACTAAGATGCATCTATTCATAAATACACCAGAAATCAGAAAAAAAAAACCTGTTCATTTTCATCCAGGAGCACCCAAACCAAGCACCAGCATAATGCTGACGCTATTCACATTTTTGATTCCTGCAACAACTGCATCAAACCTGTCTTTTAGAAAGAAATCGGGTTCTGGCCCGATCATTGCTTGATTTCTCCATCAAGTAATGGAGAAATTTTAAATGCCCCATAGCTGTGTTATAATAGAAGAGACTCATTTCTCATATAAAAACTTGCCTCATAATTAATTCAAGCAGTCAGCTGAGAATTTTTGCGTGGATTTTGTTCCAGTTGACAGAGTAATGCTTTTTTAATTGTAATTAGAGATCTGGTGAATTCCAATAAAAAACAAAAAAGATGGTCTTCCAAAGTTCCAAAATATCATTGCAGATAGTTTTAAACGTTTTTTTCTCCATTTACATCTATTTTTAAAGATGTTCAATGCATCAAACTTCTCCCCAATAAGATAAAGAAATAGTTGCAAATAAGCCATCATTTGTTTCCTTACAGAGGAAACGGAACACCAAATGCCCGTGAAGACTCTCCTGCCACTCTGCAGCTCCTGGGGGCTGAGGACCGGCAGGAGCGATGCTCAGTGTGCCGCGGATGTCACCCCGCAGGTGACCATCAGAGCGATGAGCAAAGGCCGGCAGACCACAAGGATTCCTCAGCACGGGATGCACATCCCTGCAAATCGCTCTTGTTCAGGCAGCATCATCTGTCTGATGATACTTATTTTTCCCTAGAAAAATCAGAGCAGAGTCTCGGAAATTCACATGAGCCAGAACGTGCAGGTCTGGGCTTGATCTACACACCTGCATTAAAGCACATACCCAAAAACTTGGTTACAGCCAAGTATCTCCCTAATCCTTAATATCTAATTTAACAGCAAGTCAAAAGCTTTAGTGAGACACTGTGATTTGATGGACTTTTCACCGTAACCGCTAAGCCTGTGTATGGAAACCCAGACAAAAAGACCTCCGTGTGCCGGGAGCTGAAGCAACCCGGCCCCACGGGGCTGCGGGAAGAAAAGACCAGGGGGATGGAGAAGGGCAGGGAGCAGGGACAGAGGGTCTGAGGAAGGCAGATAATGCCCTGAGCCCATCATTTCAGACTGTGTTATTTTACAGTGATGTGGATTATGATTTGATCTGATTTTAGATTAGCCTGGTGGAAGGAAAGGGACGGCTAGCTAGAAAGAAGGAAGATTATTTGTCCAGCAATTGAAATACAGCGTTTACAATTGCTAACGAGAAAATGCAATTTCGATGGATCTCATTTGTATAGGCTGTTAACTTTGCAGACGAACGTGTCAGCCTTCCACGTGCAAACCAGAGCGGGAAGCGGGATCGTGTCCTGATTTCCCCCTCCCTATCCTGGCAGAAATTATCCTGCCAGTCGGACAGGGATCCCTGCACCCGGGATCTCTGCTCAGGCACCAACCTGTCACCTTCCACATCTGCTCCCACAACACCAGACACGGGATTTTCTCCAGGGCAGACAGCAGCAGCGTGTGGATATATCACGGAATCACGGAGCTGAGAAGGTGCAAAGGGACCAGCCACAATCCCATTGCGACCTCGCAGACTTTAGCATGGGTTTAGCTCTTTGCTTCTAGGCACTTTAAAGGCAGGTTGGATCTTTCTGCCCAGGTTTGTGGTCTGCTTTATGAACGTCTCTGACTGAAACGGTTTACAAACACAGGATGGCCCTATCCAGCCTCCGCAGTTCAACAAAGTCTTAAATTTGGTGGCTTCCTTCAGGTTTAGTATCTAAGCAATGTGCAGAACAGGGATATAACTACCATATATTACTCTTTGTGGTGCGAAAACGAATCCACCAAGCACGCTGCTGTACACAAGTGGGGGAGAGATCCTTGTCCTGCTGCACCCGGGGGAGATGCCCTTATTCCCCTTTTACGATTTGGGGTTTTCAGCAGCTTGCCCCCTTCAGCAGACGGGACACCCCCCCTAAGAGCCAGCACTGGGGCGAAATGCTCTCACCGTCGGTGATCTCCATCTCGTAGGGAGACGGTCTCCTCTTCACCCGGTTGCTGCCGTACATCGAGAAGGAGTCGGGTTCGCCGAAAAACCCGCTGCAAACGAAAGACAGAAGGGTCGTGAGGACACTCCGGCACCGGCGGAGCTGCTCCGTGACCTCCGGGAACCTCACGACTCACGAATCGAGCACGGAGTCGTGCGGCGACACGACACTCAGCGGGGGACATGCACC